AAGAAATGGAACGATTTACATAGGCGAATAATGGATGAAGATGTCATAGTCCTCCTACTTACTGAATTGATATAAAGAAATAATACGAATTCCAAAATAGTGTCACTTTCAAGGGTGAACAAGATTAAACACACTCCAATTGCTATCTCAGCCGCACAAAATAAAGGAGGGAAAAACTTTAAAAAAAAAAGGTAAGTAGCCTAGATTGACGCGAAATGTTTCAGACAAGTCCTCTCCTCCCATAATTCGTCGCGTCGTTTCTTTCACGAAAGAACGTAACTCCATTTCAGTGTTGCCAAATTTCTCCTTGCAAATTGCATAATAACCAGGAAAATCTTGGGCATTTCTCACTGTTAATTTTAAAGATTTTCGCTTAGATTTCATGCAAAAATTAGACACATTTCGTATAAAAATTGCACGGGTGCATTTTTGCAAAATTATTCAATTGTTTGAGTTAAGTTGGCAACTTTGGAATGGAGTTACGTTTCTTCGTTCGGGGGAAAACGAAACATCAAACATTAGAGCTCGACTTGAATTTCCGTTTTATTTCTGGCGCCTAGACGGATTAATTTCTTATCGAGCTCTCATAAACTGATATTGTGTAGAACACCATTAAAAGCCGTCAAAATTGAGGTCACAGAGGGCATGGTTTTTGTGAAACGATCTTAGATTCCTAGGCCTCCGCCAGTATGAAACACTTCAGACCTACGAATTTTAACCTTAAAAGGCGAACGCAGTCACAAAGATGGAAGTTGTCGTCTCCAAACAATGCCCGGTCACAAATCGTCGGATTTTCGAGTGGACGGTGAAAGTTTTACCCACTTCAGGATGAACAATAACCAAAAGCATTCTGGCTCGAAACTGCAGCGCTCGGTGCATGAAATCGAAAATATTAATGACTAGGCATAGAATAACTGAAGACCAGTCCAGTCACTCTCGTGAACCAATGGGACCTTGCCATAAATCAAATGTAAGCCGGGAATAAAAGCTCAGAATCTTTCATTCTTCTTCTCCGTTTAAACATCAACCGACCGGGGAAAGGTATACAGGACAGTGGACGCACGTTTCGTATGCATCGAATCTTACCGGACCATTTGGAATTTTCGAAACATTATTTTCCTTCTTATTTTTTCCTAGATACCTGGATAAAGCTGGTTAAAACAAGAATACAAAACGCGACAACAAAATGTCTCATAATCGAAACATTCGCATGCTTTAAACACAGTTTACGCAGAGATATATTAATAAGGGGGTAAGTAAAAATACTCTTGAATCAATCGGATTTTTGCTTGAATTGGGAGCCAAGCCTTTTAGTTCGAGAGGATTTCCCTTTGATTAAGCAAAAATCCGATTGAATCGAGAGTATTTTTTTTCGTCAATTTTTTTTAGAGTATAGACTCTGGATCCAAGAGACTTGTTTTTCCCAGGGATTCAACAATTTGGCCAAATGCGAGTTCCTATTGCCTAGAATTAGAACTACAAGCGAGTTAGTGAAGTGACATTTGCGGTGATGACACTATTCGACCACGTAGGAGCCCATATTGCCTACCCTAAAAATTGAAGGCAAACTGACACGGCATTATAGTCACCTCTTACCGTTTGGTAGAAAACCAAAAACCAACCATAGCTTTCTTATCAAATTTTTTCAGAGTCCGGACTCTGGTTCCAAGATAATTTTTTTCCAGTAGATTCAACTATTCCGCCACAATATGAGTTACTTTTGCCCAGAATTAGAATTACCAGCGTGGTATTGAAGCGGTCACATCTTCGCTTCTTTCGATAAGGCGTGACACTTACAGTGATACCACTATTCGATCAAGTAGGAGCCCATATTGCCTACACTAAAAATTGAAGGCGAACTGACACGGTATTGAAGTCACCTTAAACCGTTTGGTAAAAAACCAACGACATACCATGGCTGTGTGGACCAGATTAAAATGCAGCGGAGGGGGATACCCAATGGTATTACAAAAATTGAATTAACGGATTTAAGTTAGGAACTCAAGTTAGAGTAGATACGATGAGCCATCTGGAGATCTAAGTAGACCAAAACAGAACTTTCAGCGCTTCATTAACCGTTGTACTTTCCCGACGAGGCCAGCTGTTGAAAATAAAATTGCATATTGTTAATGTGAAGGTTCTTTTTGACTCGGATATGCCGTACTCTTGCAGAATAATTTGCAGTGCAGATCGTTTTGAAAGAATATGGCATTTACGAGTCAAGAGGAACCTTCACATTAAATGATGCCCTGAAACCGGAAATGCGTGGTCCAAGAGCGGAAATTAGTCCCATCATCCCGGGTGGATTAACAGATAACGGCATTATCTCCGGCTCAATTATTATCGAGTCGCAAGCTACGGATGGAAAAAAAAAGTTAATAGTCTAATACTAAATATATTATACCTAACTTAAAATTTTTGGTTCGTTAGAGGGATCAGACCCTAAAAACTGTTTATCAAAACGAATAGTGTAAATATTCTTTGTTGAACAAAGAATCTCATTGTTTTAACCTGATCCTTGTGAAAAAAAAAATTGATCACACTAAGCAGAAGGAAACTAACGCGATTACTTACGGTGTTTGTAAAATTGTGCGACTTCTACATTGCTTGAAAATACTAAATAATACGTACGGAGATACACGATAATTTTCCTTTAATAAATTAGCAATATATTTTTTATGTTTTTTATATGTAATTTGCAGCTGATTGGTCAGCCTGTTTATTAAATCAATGATCGTGCCAAACAATAATTTGATAGAGAGAACAAAACTTATTCGTTTAGGTACTTATTTTGTTAGTAGGTATTATTTATTTGTTAAAAATCGTTTATTTTTTTTTTTTTTTAATTGCAGATGAAGATGGAGATGCACAATTTCCACAACACTGTAAATACGATGATTCCCTTCTGCTAAATTTGATCTGAGGTTTGTCAATTTTTTTCACAATTTGATGAGTTGTTAAAAAAATGGATTTATCTACGACGAAGTATCTTGATTAATTATACTCCGTCACCTTCCGGCCAAAGTATCACAAGCGCCATGCGATGTTTGAATGTTCCCGCCACCGTTAATTATTTTTTACAAAGAAATTGTTGTTGGAATCTGTTTGAAGATTTCACTGAATTTGATCGGCAGCACAAAGAAAATTCAGTGAAATTTTTGGACAGCTTCATTGAACAACTTCTCTGTAAAAAAATCAAATGGCGGCGGAAATTTTCAAACGTCGCATGGCGCTTGTGGTACTTTAGCAGGAAGGTGACGAATTGTACTTAAAGATACCGCGAACGATGAAAATCGTAAACGGCTCGTAAAATTTAACGTGGCTGATCCAAAATCAACAATTCCACGAATGAGCGCGAGAAACCGCTCAATTGGGTCATTAGCTCATTTTGCCGAAATGGCAAATTTGCTCTGTGCTCATCGCTCGAAGAAATAGTTGGTGTTCTCCTCTAAGACCCTACTCTATAGTTGAAACGCAAACAAGATCACTTAGTTGCTTCAACTCGCTGCGTGTTTTGAATAAACCTCCGATAAATTCCGGGAACCGAGAGCGCAAGTTTCGGGACACGTCCTTTAACTTTCGCCGGGGATTTCGGCGGCAATCCTCGCGAAATTAATTACGGGGTCCGTAAACGATACTCAATATCAATTAATTTCTATTACTTTTGAGAATCACTCGCGCTGAGTTGACAATTATCAGAACGAGGAAGATGAAAGAAAAGAGCACGCCACATTTAATTGAAACATTTAAGGGATTTCATTCATACCGAGTTGTCATCTAGTACTTATAAATGTAAGTGAGAATTTACTGAAAGTTCGATAGAAACCATAGGCGTAGCTAGGTAATTTTTCTAGGGGGGAGGGGTCTGGAGGGAAGGCTGAATACCCCTAGAATAAAGGGGGTTCCGGGGAACTCTATTTGAAAGTATTTAAAGGCTTCCGTGACGCAAATTTTCTACTTTTTTTTGCACGTGGATTGCGCTATTTTAAATTTTTAAGTATTTTCACCGCAAGATACTTTCCAGTTGTTACAAAGAGTTACGCTACGACAAGGAGTTTTCGTTAAAGAACATTTTTTTCCACAATATACATATAATCTCAGGGGCTAAATGATACTATTTCAATCCGGGAGGAGGGGGAAGCCCCCTACCCTTCCTAGCTGTGCCCATGGCAAATAGTAAAAATCCTATAAAATATGTGAAAATTCTTCTGTCATAGAGACATTCTGAGTAGTTCTAGAGAGCCGTTTCAGAGAGAGTTCAACAAGGAATCTGTGAGGTGAAATAGTCAGTCATGAATGAGTGAAATAATAGCTTTCATATCCGAAACGATTATTTGAACAAACAGCCGATGGAGACGAAAATAAATAGATAACGACATTCTAGTTTTTATTGCCGACTTACAGACCTTCTAAATATGTACAAACGTGCTTCACATACCCAAGTCTAAAGAAATGTTTACATTGACACGGAGAGTTCCTGATAACACTCAGTGGGGGTTGGTACTGTCAATAAACCAATACCCACTGCAATAAAATAGTGATTCCTTGGGAAAGGAAAAAACGATCGCGTTCAAACTCTAGTAATACCTATCTTAAGGATTATTGCGCCTGATGCCTGATAGTGTTAAAATTAAGTTCAGAGCAGCGCAAGATACTTCATTGTGTACGGTGGATATAGATACCTCCTTACTAAATAATGTAAGGCTTGATGACTCATGCCGCATACAAATTTATTGGTCCATCATTACCACTAGGAATGTATCTGATTTCATGGAATAAAATCAAAATATCAGGTGATAGTGATAAGGAGAATCGATGAACTCAGATATGGACACAACCAGACACAACAAACTTGTGGGAATTTTAGACCATTTGGCGTGTTGTCTCGTATCGAGTATTAGTTTGATGAGCTCGAGTCACCGACATGAATTGAGTAGAACAAAAATACTCGGCAAAATAATATAGGTAATATAATCCAAATATATTCAAGTGATCCTCACCGTTTTCCACACAATACATAAGTCCACGAAGAGGTTAGGAGAAGAAGCTCAAGCCGATAATCCAAAAGTTAAATCCAAGGCAAGCAGGTTTTATCATGCCGGAGCAAACACACACAACACAAACACAGGGTGAAAAAACACCTCAGCACCAGTTTAATTCGAGTCGGTCAAAGAGAAACACATGATTTCGGAAAGTAAAGACATCTACCGCGAGTAGGAAAAGGTGCCGAGAATTCCTCGATCGAAACAACCGCACTTGATCACATTATTTAGTCGCAGAGAATCACAACCGATATGGAAACACAGAATCGCATCCACAGGTCGATTAAGGATAGAAAATCGTAACACAAAACACAAAGCGGTGTGGGAATTCGTTGGTTGCAAACAGAAACACAGAGTAACGCACAACTCGGGCTCGAAACGGGGAAATGAGCGACGCGTCCTCACCCGTCGTGTTCCGCACTCAAACTGACTAGTTGCTGAGTCTCAAAATGGTGGCCGCGGCATTCCGCGGTTGCCATGTCGCGGGCCGCGGCGCGCGCCGCGGTGCATTCCTGCGATGCGGAATCGGTTCATCTCGCTGGCGCCTCCCTCGCCCTAAGTACTCATAATCGATTTTTAACACTCTTTAATTTTCCTCGCCGCAAGTACATGAGTATATGTTTTGGTACTCTTCGCCGATCCTGGAAGCTGAGCAAAAATTACCCGCGTTTAAACTGCACGGCTGCAACGCGAAATCCTCAATTCGTCGTTCTTTCCGAGAAAGAACGTAAATACTTTTCAATGTTGCCAGATTTTTCCGCAAAATTTTTATTTTTACTGGGAGAATTTTGAGGATTTCTGACTGAAATTTCACCAATTTTTCCCTGAAAAAAAAGAAAAAAAGAAACACATTGGATCTAGAGTCCAGACTCTTGGAAACATTGACAAGAAAAATTACTCTTGATTCAATCGGATTTTTGCTGGAATCAAAACGAAATCCGCTTAAATTAAGAGGCTTGGTTCTTGATTTAAGCTAGATTCTGATTGAATCAAGAGTACTTTTTCTTGTCGATGTTTTTTAGAGTCTGGACTCTAGATCCATGTGTTTTTTTTCCAGTGCTGATTTCATGCAAAAATCAGGCAAATTTTCGACGAAAATTATGCAGTTTAATTCTCGTAAAAAATTGAATTGCTTGAGTCAATTTTGCAACATTGGAGTGGAGTTACGTTCTTTCGTGCGGGGCCGCGTTTATCAGAAAGGAACTGAGCCACAACCGCTGATGCCTGATTTAACTGAACAATTTAATTATTTACAAAAGAACGTTTGTGCGGATTTCATTGACTTTAAGGAAATTGCCTCGTGCTATGCAAAAAAATTACTGAATTTTGCACGAAAGGCTGCACAAACTTTTTCATGTATAAAATATATTTGCCCGATCAATATTGGCAATAGCTGATGTGGCTTGGTACCTTTTTACTTAACACGGCCCAATTATTGCACTGGTTTGATCCATGATAACGAACGTATTCCTGTTGCGGTGTTTTTAACTTGCTGCTCTCGATCCATTTTGCTGCGAAAACATATATCTACGACCACGCCGCAGGGTTCCTGTCATAATTTATTTTTCAATCGGAAAAATAGTAAACGTTTTTTTTTTAATAATTCCCTGGTTTTTCTTCTCTGTGTGACGACTATTTTTTAAAATTCCGGACGATTAATCGTTGTCTATGGATCAAGCTAAATGGGCGTGGAGAAACACAGCAAACGAGCTAATATATTTCTAGTATCTATGTATACGATTATAAAAATTATCATGCGCTTGCATTGTTGCAGCGTAGTTTCGGTGGTCGAGCTAAAAAACACGCATCTAGTTAGACGTCTTCCAATTTTCTGCTTAGTGTATAATCTACTATATAGAGGAAAATTCTCTGATACTTTTGTGTGAACTTATCACAGGGAAATATTGTGCAGCAGTGAAATACCGAATTCGTTTTTTTGTAAATTTTGTGTTTCCGGCATTTGAATCGGTTTCTGTTACACGAGAGGGAGTAAGTCCAAAAAAGGATGAGCCCTGCCTTTGCTGGTCTCGTAGGACGCTGTGGCGTATGAATTTTTGGACTTACGCCTGCCTAACGGATACCGATTCAATTACTAGGATAAGCCTGACTGCATATGACGTTGCAAATTCAGTTCCCTCTTCTTATTAGAAAACTGAGAAATTGTATGCTGTCAAAGGCACATCGGTTATCCATGCGTTCGTTGCGGTCACGAAAGAATGGAGTGAATATCAAGGGATGGATACCACTATTCGTGCTTTTTGGATGTCCGTGTTGCACACTTGGATATTGAAGGCGCATCGGACACCCTTGCGTTCGTAGCGAAAAAATAAACGAATAGAATTTTTTAGACCCAAAATCGCACGAAAATCACGTTGAGCACCAAAAAAGTTTGCAATTCTCTCTTTGATACATATTCGCGTAATCTGCATCACGGGTTTTCTAATTCTCAACTTCCGGCAGTGCTTTTTGAATTCCTCTTCCCTGACATTATCTATTTTTCTCCTTGTATTATTTTATCTCAAAACTGCATTTGGAAACTATGTTTTTTTATACTTTATTCCTCTCATTATTTCTTTCATGCAGAAAGAGGTGGGACTCTAAATGGCTTTGTCATCATTTATTCAACGATGATTTTTTGTCGAAGATTTTAAACAGAAACTATAACACTTCGCAATCCAACCCCGCGAAGCCCTTCGCGTCTGGTGCGTTATGCGTTACGTACGCGTTACGTACGCGTTACGTATGCGTTACTCTAAGTTCATGTGAATAATTAGACGTGGAACGTGGAACAAAAGTATGGCATTTGAAGAACTCTCTGCGAAGTCAAAGAATTTCGAGATTTTCGGCATTTCGGAAAGCTCATCTAATTTATGTTAATAATTCATCAATCCAGGAAATTATGTTTCAATTTCATTTACTTTGTACACAAGGTTTAATTTTAGGCTAGCCCCCTCGACCGCCAAATCCTTCCGTACCTGGGAGCTATGTATGCTCGGCTTTGTCATCGGGAGAGTCGTTAATATTTTATCGCTTTCTGTATTTCATTCTCTTTCTTTTTTATCGACCGTCCTCTTTTGCTCTCTCATGCATCTCATCGTTCTTGTACGTTCGATTGCTTCGATTCGTGCCGAGGCTCCATTTTTTCCCTTTGAATTTTTACAAGACTCGATAAAATTATGTCAAGGGACGGTCAATAAACCGGAGTTCGTCCTCGGACTAATAATTCGTCCAGTGGCGTGGCGTGCTTTGCGATATATCGATTGTTCTGCCATTTAAACCTATGGTAAAGAATCGATTATTAAGGCGTTCGCTGCGAACACCTTGTGTATCGATCCTTCTCCGTAGGTTCAAATGGCGTAACAATCCATATATCGCATTTCACACCACGCCACTGAATTCGTCGTTTTCCGGACGAAGGAGCGTAACACCATTCCACGGTTGCAAAATTGACGCAAACAATTCAATTTTTTACAAGAATGTACCTGTACAATATTTGTCTGAAATTTGTCTGATTTTCACATGAGATCAGAGGAAAAATCTGTGGTATTTATAGTCAGAGATACACGAGATTCTTCTGGCGAAAACGCAATTTTCGAGGGGAAATTTGGCAACTTTGGAATATTGTTACGTTCTTTCGTGAGAGGTAGGACGAATTGAGAATTTGTGCAGTGGTTTACTATGCATAATTATTGCAAATAAACTGGTTCTTTCACATCTGTGGATAGAAACAAGTCTGCCGTGATAGCGAAGAGAGTCGTAAGTTCAAAAATGTAGTTTTGAGAAAATGGGCTCAGAAGTTAGTGTCTGACCGGAAAATTTTGTTGAAACAATCCTCCATCTTTTGTCATATTGCCACCAATGATTGGAGAGACTCTTAGAAATCGTTCAAATGATTATGAATCGACCAATTTTTTTTCAATTACATGAAAAGGATATTATTTATTTTCATGCCATGCTAGTGTCAGGCAAGACAGCTGTAAGTGCTATCCTCTGCATACTTTTGTGGTTGCGTTTTGAACACACAACAAACATATTTTCAGGTTAGAAATTGGCAGAAAAAGGCGACATTTTACTTAAAAAATGTTTTTCTCATTGGCGCTCGAATAATGCTGGTTACGGCTGTCTTGCCTGAAACTGACAACATATCTGTTGCGCACTTACGGCTTTCTCATGTCTCGTTTTTATGAAATTGAGATGAATCTTGCTGTCTCAGCTATTTCAGTGATACTATCTATAAGTGATTAGACGAATTTTGATGTAAACTCGATTTCGAAAATTTGACAGTTATGGCTCTCTTCGCTGTCACGGCAGAAGTATGAATTGAATTCACTGGCGTATACAGCAAATCGGCAGCATTGTCTTTTCTCCATACAAATCTATGGAAATGTATCGATTCTTGGAGAGGCCAGGTGCTCCGACAATAATCGATTATTTAGCATAGGATTAAATGGAGGAAATCGGTTGTTGCCAAATTGCTGGATCCACCTCTGATCGAGTTAGGCATATGGAAGAAATCCTTAAAGTATAATCATCCCTTAAAGTGGCAAAAATCATCTACGATAAATTTCCCGGGGCTTTGCGGAGTTTTCCCCTAGAACAATCCCAAAATCCGTTGTTAAATGGAACATCGGAATGAGGAGTCGAACCGTGGACCTCTGCAGTATCGATCAAACTCTAAGCTTTTCCGCAGAGCACTTTACACAATTACCGATCGCGTACCCCTCCCCCTTCCCCCTCCTAACCCCTCCCCCCTTAACANCCCCCTGAACTCATGCCTGTGCCCTCGCTTCGGTGCCGATGACATGCACTTGCGGCTGGATCGTCTTGTAAGTTGTGAGTAATGCCCGGTCGATCTGGAGTATAAAGGTCGCAAACCGAGGTGATATTTTCAACCGCAGTTTTTTGCTTGCGGTGTTAACGGCGGTGCTGTCACTTCCGTGTGAAATTTACATCCATGGTAGGAATATCAAACCGCGTATCTCACTTTGCAACGTTGCGGATCTACTGTTACACCCGATGGCATTTTCTGAATGTGCGCTATGGGAACAGTGCTTTCTACCCATTGCTTATACTTAGTTCGGAGCCATCCCGAAAATTCCTCGAATGAAATATGTAATTTTAAAGAAACTTCTTTAAAAGTACTTCTTAGTGGTTTTTTTTTCACTTTTAAAGAAATATATGCGTATTTCTCCTCAAAATGTTTCGATGTTTTAGATTAAATTGGGATTGAGGTTGTCTGAAAAACTGGAAGAATTTTCCCGGTAAATTCTTTGGTTATTAATGGAAATCCGTGCTAAGGAAAAACGCTGGATGGCTCTGTAGGTGTTGCCGTATTTCCTTTAATAACCAAAGAATTTACTGCGAAAATTCTTCCAATTTTTCAGACAATTTTAAGCCCAATTTAATCTAAAA